CTAATCTTCCCGATTACTGCTTATACTCTTGCTACCTCTACCACTACGGGGTTTGAATCGACAACTGCATCTCTGTGCTAATGTGGTGTGGCAACTCGAACTGATGTACGTACGTACGAAGTTCTACGTTGTTACTGACTGACTGAACTATTCAAATTATTGAAATGGTAACATATCACAGTTGTTATGTAGTGTGAAATTAAGTCTTCGACAGATTTATTTCCAAGGTTATGCGTAAGTATTATTGATTTTGCTTAACAAACATTTGTTCAGAGTTGAAGCCGACTATTACCTGCCCACCTCAACATCTGTTACAGGTACAGACGAACAGTTCTCATGAATAATCGCTGTTTGAATCCAACACTTTGTGAGTAAATTTTATCGGCGAATTCAAAGTAGATGGATTACAACCATATGAAATAGTAGTTACCCACTCACAGATCGGATTGGATACTATCGTGTTATAGTGACAGCTGTTTGAAAAAGGAAATAATAACCATAGGATTTTAAATCATTGACCGACAGTTTAAGTTCTCATAACGAAATCTAAAGATCCTAAGCTTAACCTGTTAAAATATCCTGCGTAAGAAACTTTATAAAGTTGGAAACTAGTATGAGACAACTGGCATAGTGATGCTCGATTCTCAGTTGATTTTAATATCTAATGAATATCAAACTCAATTACTTGTGAATGTTACCGAAAACAGAAAGCGCTGAATGAAAGAGTTATCTAGTGTTTCCTAATTTCAAAGGGTACTTTAAATCAGGTAAGTTTCTATACCTAGTAATATTCAACATTCTCCACAAACCCCTTAAACCGATAAGAGTATGTATTTAGAATTGTTTCGTGATTACGAAATGGCATCTAGTTTTTCTAAATATCCTTAAAATGATCATTTAACAATTATACTACTTATTAGTAGTTAAATACAAATTCTAAAAGTATTAGTTTAATGGTTATATATGCTTAGTACCAAAGGTCAAATTATGCGATGTGTCAGGGTATGTTCGATAGATAATTGACCCTAATAATGAGTATCAATAAACTTGATTCTTGAGAAAAAACACAGTCCATTCCTATTTGTAAGCAAATAATTTAAGCTCAGTATCAAGTAAACGAATATGATCTCTAATGCTAGAAATTGATATGGATCCTCGAAATTCTAATGAAGAATCTTGATTTGTTGAGTTCAACAACAATCGGAGTAAGATAATTACCACTGATAGTAGTGATTAGCAGTCATACCATATCACGGAATAATCTCACTTAGAAGTGTAGATCGATCAACATAAGCTCAATGATCTAAAAGATAATTCACTCACCGCAAGAATTGAGTATTTTAGGTTCGATCCCATATTAAGTCATAGGTATTTACTTATGTGAAATCTTTAGGTAAAAAAGAAAGATCTGTATGGTGTCTCTTAGTTCTCCTTTGTCACTGTGCTCTCGTCAACCCATAGAGAAATATACAATTTATTGTTAAATATGAAAAATGTGTGTATAATTAACTTCCCTGTACTGATTCATTAATTTTCGATTTTTCTGTGTAAACAATAAAGAAAATTCACTTGATACGAATATTCATCAAGATTAGAACGAACAGTTTGACAGAAATTGAGCGCCAAGTATAGAGAAGTCATTATAAGTAAAAAATTATATTTGAAATAATCTCAGCGATTGAAATTTAAATAATTCCAGCGTTTTGTCAAGCTAACTTGTCTGAACTTCTCCAGGCATAGGTGCGTATTGCCTTAAGTCACAATCATTACAAGCAAAGATGGATAGTGGCTAATAAGAGACTGATCAATTGCAATCCTACACATCGATGGGAAGATCCAAGTAAACAATACCAAGTGAATTCAAAACTCCAACCCATTGCACAAGCTAATGGCTATATGAACTCAGTAACTATGTGGATAACACGATGGCGTTTGAAGCGAACGGTACTGGGTTCGAGTCCCAAAGTAAATATCAACACTGAGATGCATGTAAATCCAGCTGACTCATCCCAAATAGGATGAAATGCGTCTCCTGAATTCCACTGCTAGATATTATTCATCTTTGGTTAGAATAATCATATTACCTCAACATAAACCAAAAACGTGTGTATGAATTATCAATCACTATTTATTATTATTTATGTTTCTTATCCCTCTAGGGATATAAACCCCAATCTGGAGACTTCCAACCAACTCTGTCTTGGTGTCTACTTTCCAGTTGTTATCAAGTACTACTCATTCTTTGATATCTGACTACAATTCCTTACACCATATGTTCATTCGTCTGCCGCTTTCCCTTTTGCTTTGAGAATTTCGAATCAGGGTTTGTTACGTAAAGAAGTGTAATGATTTATGTATTGTACATCCTATCCACCTCCAGAGTCTTTCCCAAATCTTCTCCTCTTTGGAAGCTGGCACAACTGGCATGTAAGGTCCAGCAATATTCAATTTTACAAACCGACGTGAGAAGGGCTACTCGACGAATAAGTTGTAGACATAGCGCTCAGACCATTTGAATCACCAACTATGAACTTGATCGTAGTCACTAATCGAGATCACTTATCATGCATCTGCGGCACCCTGTTGAAGATTAAAATAGGAAATTACAAAGCCCTACGGCAATCATGTTGTAGTTTATACCTATCTCAAGGAAGGTTGGATTTTAACACATTCCAAGTGTTCACTTTATTATCGTCTATTTCCAGTGCTGAAGGATCAAGTTGTAGAGTGGCCACTACTTTACTTATCTATGAATCATAATGGTCTCAAATGAACAATGATTAGTAACCGAAACTACCTAAGAACCATACTTTCAAACCTCATGTATAAAGAAGGACCAAGCTCTCTAAAAAAACTGATTCTCAAGAACATGACAAATGTTTTCACAACTATCCACAGTGTATAATTGTCAATGAAAACTGTAGCAGAACCACAGTCATTTTCTTGTTCTCTCAAATGTTAGGAGACAGGATTAGGAATTGATGAGTTAAACACTACGGAAATCTGTTGTTTTGTATGACAGTATCTAACTTCCATTTCATGTAGCTAATGTAATACATGACAAAGATGATGCTTCAAAATTGTATACACCATTTAATTAAATATTCTTTTCATAAAACGTAACTTGTAATGAAAAAAATAAACTGACAAGTCTTACAAATTGAACGCTATATTCGTTTCCTAAGCTATTTTGCAACCCCCAAGCTAGAACTTTACAGCGACCTGAACAACGAGAAAGAGAGAACGCAAAGTATGCGAGAAGTTCTTTACTTTAAGGTTCATTTCAACACAGAAAATATAGGGTTTTTATAATATTTTAAATGTCCTTGGGTTGTTCGAAGATTCTGCAATGCTACTAAACATAGTAGCAGTATAACAATCAGAACCTGTACATGTGACGTTTCATTTCTGACTAAAACTTCAAGTAAACGCTGATAGGATAAAACGCTTCTTAGTGTTTCCTGATCATTGATTGTCTTTTGCAAGAAATTTTCTAGATCATTGATTCTTTTAAGACTTTTGTAAGAACTCAGATGTATGTCATAATGATTAACAATTGCCGAATTCTACCATTTCAGTGGACATGTCAATACATTCGATCAAGTTATGGAAATTTTCTTTAGTAAAACGATGATCAATTGAATGAGACTATACACTAGTTGTTCAAGAAATTGACTTTTAAGTTGAGAAATTTCTAACTCATATATTACCGAATACAAAGAATATTAATCCTTCGGATAGATTAAAGAAGCATGATTTCGAAACTATAAGGGTAAATTATAGTCTAATTAGCCATAAAACTACATCATATAACAGACGTCACTGTCCATTTCTTGTACAAATGACTTGAATATTTTACACAAATTGGATACAGTGTGGATTCAGAAAAATGAACTTGCAATTAACGAAAGAGTAGAGATTTCTGAAAATTCCTACAGTGATGAATTAGTTGTTGCTCGATAACATTTCAAACTATAATGCTCCAAGTCGGATTTGAATTCACTGAGGAATATCAATTTCTTTAATATTGTAGATAAGATTTACTGATAAATGCCAAATACGATAAAACCTAGATTTACAAGGTTCTCTACTAACTACTTTCAAGACCTAATGTCCAAATATAGTTTACCAGAAGTTAAATTGTTTGTACTAATAACCACATTGTAATATGATTGATAGAATTCGACTGGCAGGTACTGTATATATTTGAAATGTAGCCCAAAGTACATGTTTACACATACAACTTTGAGGAACATGTTTAGCTTTACGGATCAAGTAATATTACTAACGGGTTAACTAAGTTATGTAGAAATAGAAACTGAAAAGCTGAACACCTGGAATCAAATTTTTTTTGTTTACAACTATCCCATTAGTTCGTTTAAATACTACTGATAACTGTCCTTCCCTTTCTCCCGACTATAGCTTCTACCTTGACGCGGTGGTCGGGCTTGCCTATAGTGATGACCCAACCGAGCTATATTAGCTGAAACACATGTTCCTTTAGGTTCTACCATGCCAGGTAGGTTGATTGGAGAACGGTAAGACTAAAAGCAGCAACACAAGGTCTGAGGGCGAAGTCGTACTGCTGACTGTAGAGGGGTGTGACAGCAATAAGGTGTTTCCCTCGGACAACCAACAACTGCAGCGATGCTGCCTTCTCACAAGGAAGGAAGGGATTAGAAAAGGTCGACCCTAAAAATGCCACACCTCACCTTACCTCGCGGATCTCCGTCTCCGGCAGTAAGGCCTTTTGAAGAACGAAGCTAACACGTTAAAAACTTCCCACGAAAAGGCTGTGCGCGACCGGCCTCAAGCAATTGTCCCTTTGACTCCGTAGTCACGCTCCCAGGTCGTTAAGACCGACATTAATCCGAATTCCTTTTCAGGTTCCTCAAGAAATACCCTACCACAGTATGAGCAACAGGGAAGTGATATCAGCTTTCATACTCGTAAAAACACACACAAGATCAAGTTGTTCACAACAATAAAATCAATAAATTGAGAACAAAACTATTATCATTGTTTCAATTTTCTTTGAATAGAAAAAAAAGAGAGAATTATATCGTGCACAAAGTGTCGTCTACACATTAAAAAGAGTAAATTTTTTTTAAAAAAAAAACTGAAGGGTAAAATAGAAAAAAAATGAATGGGGGGGGGGGGATAAATATAGGAATATAAGAGAGCAAAGACAAAAAAAACTTACACACAAACACATCCACACACACACACACAAAAGTACACAAGAGAAAAATGTTATTAACCACAATGAGATAATAATGATATTGAAACCAAAATGAAAATGATCCGACTACATTTTTGATAATACATAGAAATGTCTATTTTTTCTAAGCCGTTTTTCTTCTTTTTTATATGTTTTATTTCATTTCACTTAGTGACAACCTTTATTTCTTCTTTTCTCAAGGCACAAATAAATGTACATAAGTGTGTTTACGGTTCTTTTTCCTCTCTCTCTCTCTCCCCCCTTTCAAAGTGGTGGTGGTAGTAGTACGCTCGTATAAATATGTGAAAGACAACACCGGGAGGTCTCTTACATAACACATACACCGACAAATACACAATCATAGTAAGAATGATGAAAACACCTATAGTATAATCACAAATTAAATGAGATGAAAGGGGTGAAACAATCATAGTCATTTCTTGATTAACACACTGATTTATTCATTGTACGATTTTATTACTGTTGACCAATATAGTAGTAGTAGTAGTGAGCAACGAAGAGTTAATAACAAGAAAATGTAATTACCTACTAAGTTATATTAGTTACGAGAGAACAGGGGTGTTGTCTTTGTTGTTAGCTGCACATGCGAGCGGAGAAATTATTGGTTGATCTACAATTAAATGTAATTTGAGCTTAGTTTGTTTTGTTTTTTATTCCTATGGAAAGAAAGAGTTTGAAAAAAAGGAATAAGAACTAAGGGTATGGTTAACAAAAAAAGCGAAGAATCGAAGTTTAAAGATGAAGTGAGTTACAACAAAGAAATTTAGTTGTTTACACACAGGGAAGAACAATTTAGAACGATGGATAAAGTGGAAGGGGAAGGTAGTAAAGAGTAAATCATGTTTCATGGGTAAATATACAAACACATAACCATTTTCTTCTATTCGAATACATAAAATTAATGTCTTGATCGTCTATTAACCAACACAATCATAATCATCATGTTCTACACATCATGATTTTTTCCAGTTCAGAGAGAGAAAGAAAGGAAAGCGAAATGAAGTGTACCACACATAAGAGAACTACTAGGCGAAAATTGAGCAGAACAATAAGGATAACATAAAACACATAAAAATATAAATAACAAAGAGTAGGCTATGGAGAAACGAAGTGATGAGTACGGAAACCAGAACGAGAGAGGCAGAGAGAGATAGGACAAAGAGAGTAAAGTGAGATTACATATTAAGAAATTCTCATGATTAGTATAGATGATTATTATCCAACTAATTACAGATGAACACTTTATCCAATCACAAAAACATGCGCATTTCACGCACATACAATTTGAGAATGAAGAGAATAAAACTAAGGATTAAAAAAACACGAATAGAGCTAAGGGGGGTGGCAACAGGGTTCGTTAAGATTTACAAAAAGAAAACAAATAGTAAAGAAGAAGAAGATAGGGATTATATTAAATCAAGGTGAAAGAGGGGGTGGCAGAACATTAAAAAATAAGATGAATTACAAAATGTTGGAAATTCACTATTGAGAGAAGAAGAAGAACAACAACAACAAAAAAGACTAGTGAATCAAAATGATAACAAAAAGTACTAATGATTGTGTATGTGTATGTGTGTGTGTGTTTATTCACAGAAGGTTTGCTTGATTTTTATTTATTCACAATCATGATTATAAGATGAGAGTGTGAGAGTGAGCAAAGATGAAAATTAACAAAAAAAACAAATAATTATGAGAAAGATATTGGGGGGGGGATACCGTCTGATCAAATCTAGCTATCACCACCAACAACTAAATCTTCTTTGTTCCGCCGCTAGATAAATTTAGATAGGGAGAAAAGAACAATGAATATATAGATATATACAGAGTATTGATCGCTAGAAGTAGAAATCAACATTTTAAATCACTACTTGCAAATGTACGTAAAGTGATACTTTTCCTAAATATTTAATTCGTCAGTCAACACTGTCGTCTCCTGATAGTCTGTAACTCATTGTGGTAAACGTATTCAGAAGGGTAATAATCATATTTGTTATCAATTCGTATGTATTATCAGAGGGAAATTTGTTCTGATCGTGTAATAATTCTCTTAGTCATATGTTTATTTGTTTGAACACATAAACATTGGTAGCAAGGGGGGTACCAAATACATATGCGCCGCACAATAACAATCAGGCCATTAGTCGTTATCATTAATTCATGTGAGGGCTGTGATACTGTCCGGGTGCCTAAATCAGAGTGAATCAACTTTGTTAATCTTAAACAATGAGATACGAATATGGAAATCTGGATTTCGCTCTCCACACATGATTTAATGACTCGATTATAAATGAGGGATGATAAAGCTTATAAAACAGTGTAACATACCATATTTAATTCAACCTCAATTACAAATGAATATGATAAATTGAGAATTAAACGTAATAATTATATGTTAATTCAAATGTTCTGATACGACCGAGTGTGGGGAAAGTCCTCTTTCCCTCTTCAAATGCTCTCATATTGGTTACGCATATATAGCCATTGATAATCGAGCGCTACTCACTTCCTTCTCGTGGCGGTGTTGTTGTTTATCAAGATAAGGACAAAAAGCGAATGTCCAGCGCTTAAACAATGTCGATGGATACAGAGTATCTACCGGAGTTGGAAGATTCTGATTCCAAACCAATGGTGCACATGATCTGCAGGATCCCGGGAGAATAAATAGCGTATGAACTTGTACTTGGACACCGGCCACCATGGGACTACATCTTTTAACGTCGCTTTACCGCTTACTGAATTAGACGTCTACGTTGAAGGCTTTGGTGCCCCATTCGTGCCAATGTTTATGTGTTTAAATAAGTAAATAAATAAACAAAATAATCCATTGTAGAATGAATGAGTGACTCACATAATCGATATCTTTCATCAATCACTTCATTTCTATTATCTAATCATAATATTTTGCCGTATGAAATAAAAACAATCCCCAAGGTAACTAATTGTTTATTCTTTTGATATCATAGTTAGTTTACTATCATTCATATTGTACTATCTATCTATAACTAATAGTTTCTTTCATTTAGACAGTAGAAAATTCGTTGAAATAATTTAATCTTAAATCTATGACTGAACGTTTGAAAGTTGAACATTTTAACCATTGAGCGCATTGATTTATCATGAATTATAAATGGATTATATAAAGTGTAATTGTATAGAATTCACTCTAATAGATATTTTCTTGAATATGAGTCAAAGGAAATGAACTTAATAAAAGTTTATCAATCAGCTATAATGTAGGATCAGGCAAATATATGCATCGATTCAAGTTGCCATACCTCATTACCACAATAAGATGAACATGAAATTCATAGAAGTAGTCATTTCAATGGTAGTAAAGCATAAAAGAAAGATTGTGTACAAGGATGTAGTACAGGAATGAAGAATTAGTCCATAGAAAGAAAAATATGAAATAATTATAATCTCATAGTTTAAGGGAAGAAAGAGTGTTGTATACACCGACGCAATTGTGATCGATTCTGAGCCATGTCACCAAGAGTCTCTAACCATTCGTTACGATAGTCACGCGGACCCCAACCAAGTAGTCTGCATCTACCAACATGGCTCAGACTAGGAGTTAGTGACTGATGCCAGGATTTGGTTTGTCTGCCCCTAATTCTTTTCCAACCACTTCTAACACCCGTTAGCATTACACGACGTGGTAATCGGTGTTCAGACACACGTAACACGTGAAACAACCATCTTAGTCGATGAAGATTTAAAACCTCATCAACTGATTTACCATCATCATTCCCTAATACCCTGCGTCTAACCTTACTATTACTTACTGGACTATCCCAAGGCAGTAGATAGTAATTTTCAATTGAATGCTTCAAATAGACTCTACGGAGAAGAGAAATTCGCTTTTAAATGATGTGTTTTTCTCATGAGTTTAATCTAAGAATTCATAAATTGATGATTATAACTTCGCTGGTTAGAAGCATCGGTTATGAACAAGTCAGTTGTGTTGTAGAGTATCATTTATAAAGAGAGAATTTTCACAATACAATACCCGTTAAAAAGAACTCATTTGCTTAATTCAGATAATGGACAAAAATTTAATAGAAACAACACTGAATCATGTCAAAAATAAATGGGAAGAAAAGTGAAAAAAACATACTGATTCTTGTAAATTCTGCTTTGTGCGTATTCCTTGATTTTTATCCCCATTTATTGTAGTATGATTTGTTTGTTTTGAATTGTGAACAAAATTTGAATGATGATTAATTTGATTTGGTGTATCCAATAAAGGCATACTATTTATAATAAATGGTTCCACTGAATGATTTCCACCACTGCATGGATTACGAAATCTAAATTTATTAGGATGTGATGAAATAGATGAACCACGATAACAGGAACCAGGAACAACTTGTGAATGAGTAGTTGTGTGAACATGATTTAAACTTGTAGGTGGACGTGCCGGTGGTTGGAAAGGTAGGTTAGTGATAAACGTGTAACCAGTACCAGCTGATGGAAATCGTGTAGATTGTGAAGAGGATTGATCTATTTCAATGTTGTGCTTGTCATCAACTGTATCACTGAAACGTCCACGCGGCCAACAACCATACAATGTTGGAGGTCCAATGCGCACAGGCCTCGTCGCGGTGGCTATTTTTATTAAATGAAATACAGACCAAACAAAAACGCAGAAATTTGAAAGTATTGGTCGAGAGATTATTAGTCGAACACAACTCCTATATATAGTGAAATACATAACTAAACAGTTGAAAAATAAAGGTTGTCGGACTAAATAAAGTATGAATCATAGATATACTTAAAAGTTTAGGGTATGAAGAAAACATGTGCCACGATATTAATCGAAACAAAAAAGTGCCAAGATATATATATATATATATATATATATATATATATATATATATATATATATATAAACACCGTTGGATACCAACTCGGAGGTCTAGGGTTCAAGCCTCCGTGCGCAAACACTACTGAGGAATTTCATACCAGAACAAAACGGCCTCCAGTGCTTCTACATTTTTGATAGTGATCTGACTTAGATCGATCCATAACATCAAAAAAATTTAAAGATCTCCACAACCTCATATTAAGAAGACAGAGAATATTACTTTTAAGAGTAAGTGACGTGAGAAATTTTAAATAAGTTGACTACTTGATAGTTTATTCAAATGATAGAAATGATATGTACCATCTTAATAAATAGAAAAAAGAGGACTTCTGATGTGCTATGACCTCGTGCAAACGGCTTCAAAAAGTAGGTCCATTTTGTCTAGTGAATACATGAAATCAAGTCTAAACATGCTAACTGCAATTCTATTTTACAACATAGAAAGGAATTACATATGAAGTACTTTCTTTAAAAAAAATAACGTGATTTTTTTATGATATTTGTAATGTAAGATTGATAGAAGGTTAAGGTCTTCATTAACTACCACTACTACTAATGTTCATATTTGACCTTTATCAGGAACATCAAAAAAGTTCCTAACCGAGTTAAATCCTTTGAATTGACAATCTCATACAAAAATGACTGAAAACAATTACCATTAAAATTATATTATTGAAGTGTATGTTTAACATGTATGTTAACAGTTACATAATTTACTTAGTGTTTTTGATTGAACAAAAAAAAGACAATCAGTCATACTATTAATTAGTTAAGCAGATAATATTTTTATTACTGAGGATATAGATACAAGGGCGGCCAGCTTGAGCATCTGGGCTACCTGTTCCTGCCATCTAGATATTTCAACAAGTTATCTATTTTTGTTTGTTTTAATATATCATTATGTTTATTAATCGCATAACCTATTCTGCTGCGTTTCTGAAAAGTGTACAACCTTTCGTTGTCAAAGTTACAGAAAACTCAATAAGAGACAATATGGTTGCTGGCAATATACAACGAAAAGAATGCACATTATTCAGATGTTCATTCACTGAAGTGCTAACATCTAACTGGCGATCCCTCAATATTTATCGCCAGGACCGACCAAGAAGAAAGAAACGGAAACTTGTTGAAATACTTTACGCTGAGAATTCTATATTGTCCCAAAAATATAACATTGAATAAAGCTAATAATAATAATAATAATAATAGATATATATTCTCCATAGGCTATTTATCTATCGATCATCAATAAACATGGATAGTTAGTGAATATACATAACAATTCGGTATTATATGCGTATAAACCAACTTAGCGTGTACCAAGAATGGGAGATAGAGAGAGAGAAACGAAGAAAAACTCACAGATACTTTACGAACTCTTATATGTTCTATACTAAAGTTAAAATTATGTTTACATATTTCATTAAGACATACAATGAATAAGCCTAACAAAAGAAAAATTTCCTTCAAATACATACAATAAAACAAAATAATATTCAGGTCAATAGTGAAAACTAGAAATTGATAATCCAGTTGTAAAATAAATTGTCATTTATATATATTTTTTAAAAATACCTCATTGAATGTTTGCGTGGAAAACCTGAAACCACCGGACGGCTGTTTCGTCCTATTGTGGGACTACTCAGCAGTGCCCAACCACGATCTCACCTCGCGGAATTTGAACCCAGGACTTAATCAGTCTCACGTGCGAGCGCTTAACCTCTAGACCACTGAGCCAACCGGCATCCAACGGTGTTAATGTCTAACTTCAACTAATCTACGAAATTAAGTGACACATCCACCATTGTCTTCGGTTTAGGCACCCGGGCAGTATCACAGCCCTCACACATATCGAATGAGATTTTTGTGGCGTATATGTATTTGGTGCCTCCTTGTACCAATACTTATGTGTTAAAAGTCACTGTTTCTCACTAGGACTCTAGGAAATATCTCTTGAAGCCAGTCACTAGTGAGCATAAAATCCCCTTCTGAATTAATAGTGTTTATACATTTATTCTAATCGTGAATAAAAGGTTAGTGTGATCCGTCATACTAAATATAGAACTGATTATGTCACTTAAACATATGAGTTGTGAATTTAAAAACAAATGCAATCATGTAAGATGATATTTTGTCTTCGATTTTAACATGACTGATCACATAACACGACAAGGGACATATTGATAAGTCCAGAGTTTAGATTATCATTATTTATTTGAATAATATATAACAATATTTAATTTTCAGATAAGGAATTTCATATAACGATCAGTGATCTTGAGTGCTGTTAGAGGTTTGAAGGCGGTTTTCACTTCCCGATTGCCCACACCGTAGAAGGGTTCTTCTGAATGTATCTGAAAAGGAAATTGGGTTACGGGTGGTTTTAGTGACCGTAGTGCCCAACGGACAACTGCTTAAGGACGGTCACACACGATCTTTTCGTGAGTAATTTTCGTGTTAGCTCCGTACTTGTGGAAATCTTAACGTCGGAGACAGATACTCGTGTGATAAGGTGAGGTGTGTATTTTTAGGATCACGTTGAAAAAACCCTGAAAAACTAGGTGAATGGAATCTATAACTGATGAACTTTAATTTATGATTTGTGATACTTTGGGAAGGTTCATGGAATTTTTATCAAAGTCAAATAGGAAACAGTCAATGGCTTATAATCAATTATAGACACGACGACAAAATTTCTATTATTACTTATTATACTATTTAATTTGAGTTCTTTTAGGCTTCTGTAATGTATCTATTAGTAAAGATACATTTTTAATTCACTAGGTATTCAGTGACTATTTCTGTGAATTTTTATAAACAGCTTACATATAGTATTAATAAAAAGTCGAGAATGTGGTGATGTTGTGAATTGTTCCTACTTGAATCCCCTTTACAGGTTGTCCTTAAAATCCTAATAACATGGAAAAACTGCTTTATAAATATATATAAAATCTGATTTCAAATGTGACCGGAAATCCTTTACGCTGTCTATACGTGGGAGCATAATTATTACTATAGTATTTTTAATGGAGGATATAATTAGTCAGCCATAAGTAGCATAGAACGTCGTGGCGCATGTACATCGGTTCAATCTGTCATAAACCAACATTGACACAGTGAAATAAAATTGTCAGCACCAATCACAGAGTAGTAGTGGTAGTAAAAGTATTAGTGGTAATAGAAAAGAAAATATAAATTAGTAACATAATAAGGCAAGTTCATGATGAATTTAGAAACTTAGGATCTAAGGGCGGATTGGATGATTTTGAGCCATGTCATTTAAAGTCTAACCATTGGTTACAACAATAAGGCAGACACAAATCAAGTAGTCTTCACCTACCTACATGGATCGGTTCAATAGTCCGTATTATTACAAACCGATACTGTTTTTGTTTGACCGCCCTTAGCTTTCCCTTCCAACCTAACCTTACACCGGTCATCATCAAGCTTCGTGGTAGTCGGTGGATGGACACGGGTAGTACATATTCTAATCATTTCAATCGATTTTCCATCCTCACTTAATACTTTGCGTCTAATCTCAGGATTGCTAACTCAATGGTCCCAAAGTAAACAAGCAATGCTTTGAAGACACCTATGATCGGATGCTAGTAACTTATGAATTTCTTTTATTTTTAGTCACGTTTCACAGCTATAAAGCATAACGCAGCGAACTGCTGAGCAGTATACTCGCCCTTTAGTTAGCAAGGTGTACCTGCAATATTGAGGGAACTGTTACTCCCTGACGGACTCGATCCCGTGTCACCCAGCTTCACAGTCAAAGACGTTACCACTGAGCTATCCGGGTCACGCGTATATGGCCTCTCCCAGGGAAGTCATACTCACTGCCTTCTCATGGCATTATTGTTGTTTACGAAATTGAGAGGACGAAAAGCGAATGTCCGGTACCAGCTTTAACTGGGTTGATGGACATAGAGAGTCCACCTAGGGGAGTTGGAAAACCCTCATTCCAAACCAATGGTGCACATGGGCTCCAATATCCTGAAGAAACAAATGTCGTATGAACCCAATCGTTGGCCACCGACTACCATGGAACTGCATCTTCTTACGATGCTCCACTGCCTTGTGGATTATTATTATTATTATTATTATTATTAGCTTTATTCAATATTATAATTTTGGTACAATATAGAATTCTCAGCGCAAAGTATTTCAACAAGTTTCCGTTTCTTTCTTCTTGGTCGGTCCTGGCGATAAATATTGAGGAATTAGACCTTCAGGTCGAAGGCTCCGGGTGTGGCTTCCTAATAAAACCACCTGTTTCGGTTTGGGTACCCAGGTAGTATCACAGCCCTCACTCATATCAAATGAGATTTGTGTGGCGCATATGTATTTGGTGCCTCCTTGTACCAATATCTATGTGTTCAAATAAATAAAACGGTGCTTCCTCTAGTTAGCAGAAAAAAACCGAACCTTCTGAATCTGTTACGAGATTTAGTCAGACATCAGTCCACTAAGGTTGAAGAGACTTCCAAAATAAGTGAAGTAGTCGAGAAGTTCAACTGACTCACTCCCTATCATTAGTTCAAATGTTGACACAGACCACTATTGAAGCAAGATTTTTGCATCTAGAGGGAGAGAAACACATACTAAGCATACTAGCGTTGCTGCTTAAGGTGGTCAGAAGACTTTTTTCAGCGTCTTCGCCAAACAGAACTGTCATATGCGTATTCAAAGTCAACAAGAGCACACTCTGATTAGTCGGATGATTGGTGTTGTCTTTCAAAGAATGTCTAACAAAATTAAACCATAGTGGAGACAGCCCTGACAAACATTACTCGAAGGTATCGATTCCGATGACAATTCGCCATAAGCTCTGATTCAATCAGTAGTGTTTGAGTAGAGAGCATATGCAAGGTTGATGTACTTTGTTGGTATATCTCTTAATGACAGACACTGTCATAAAACCTGTCGATCTATGGAGTGAGTGATTACCTTAAGGTCCAGATATACAACTATGGCCAGGAGTTAGTACGTATGTCTGTATTCAGATGTAATTAGTGTTGTGAAACGATGGGGAAGATTTGTAGCCTAGGCTGATGCGTTTTCTAAGCTGGATGATTTCATTACAACGCTTTCATTATCGTTCTGGACGAAATTATCAGCACCTAACTCAAATAAAAATTCGTTTAGGAGGTGAATTAGAAAGATATCACATTGCATTTTATGCTCCTAGTCTACTAAAACCGGCATACAAAACTGGATGTTACAGGTTTTCACATTTGAACACTATGCTAAAAGTCGAATATTGATAATTCGGCTTTAGATCATAGTGAGAAATCACGACTCCTATGAACGATTGAATGTTTTTTGTCAACCAAAAGATCTATAACACCATGAAGGGATGATATATCAGTATACGCATTACATTGTTTTTCAGCTGAACATTTTTGTTTACTCGTTTAGAGAATTATGAGCAAATATTGTAGAAAAGAATGGGAACCTATCTCTTGGTTTGCAAAGGTTGACAGATTTACGCTAGCATGTATTGAGAACTATCCAAATTGTCAATAAATCGACTATTACTGACGTATCCAGAGAAACGAATTAACCTTAATGAAAACTATAACCAAACATATAACATAATTTAACTAAAAGTAATAGCTTACGGTCTGATATCATCGTCTGTCCTGAGTATTTGCTATTGGCTATTCCATGCCAATTTATCAAGGGATATCGAGGATAGAAAAAAGGTTGAGCGAGATTTGTGCAATTTGAACGGTCTGGGAGCATTGGTGTTGAGTAGTTAGGGGGACCTGTAGTGGAGGATCCAAAATTCGGAATACCTCCAGGCAACAATGGTATATGAAATGGTTGTCTCAGAGTATTTAAAAAAGCATCTTGACGACCGGGCATAAGTGTCCAATAATCAGGTTGATCTGCATTATGTCGATTAGACTTAGAATATGATCGACTGTTAGCTGAATCCGAGGTTGACATATTAGCTGGACGTCCATTGGGCAGTACATATACGATTGGAGCTTGAATAAACGATTGAACAGAGGTGCCAGCAAGAGATTGTCCATATAACCATAAGGCTAACATATGATGCAGATTTGTTAAAATAAGCTGTAAATTTAAGTAAGAGTAGTGGATGTAGTAAATTACAGGAATCATAATCTCTTTAATAAACAAGTATCGGTTAACTATATCCTTTAAACAGTTACGCTGTTATAAAAAATGAGAAAGCATTTAAATACTACGCGAAGATATGGACTACATATCAATCAGTCATTAACAACATAGGACCTAGGAGAAATGTGCTTTTCTACAAGTTATCACAACCGATGTTAGGGAGTCACGAGGAGACCAAGATAAGAAGCATCATATGGGGAAAAATCTCGACTCCAAAGAAGAGTTAAACATGAGAAATATAATACAAAAAGCACAAATAAAATTGAAGAATGGAAAGTTATGCGTATCACTGAACTTTAGATTTTGCAACATTGGGACCTGTTTTTCCACACTACCTAATCTATACCTATCGACAACTTTTAGACCAAGTCAATGAATTCACAAACTGACGCTATGTCTTGATTAGATCATCTCTAGCCCATTACTGTACTAACCAACACAGTACGTTGTGATAAACATGCATCGAAGGTTTATGGAACCTCTGACTGAGTACATAATGCATGACCTCACCATTACTAGCTCGATAGTTCCAATAAAATGTGAACAATACTTTGAAAGTATTTATAATCAGATATATCTAGTCCCCGGATGCTTTCGAATTTAATATGCTGTTTCATAGTTACATATCAATACACAGTGGATTGAAGCGCATTATCGATGCGTAATGATGGACATCTCACCTAACCTATAGGTCAGAAACAAATCAGATCTGTAATTGTTAATTTGTTTAAAGCAGTGATAGACTAACAAAACGAGGTCTGCTTAACAGCTTTAATGTATGATGATTCAGAATGAAGTAAAACTGTAAGCAGTGACATCAAATGTAATTTTGATCGATTTATCAAAAGACAAAATATTCAGAAATAATAATAACGATATATCTTGATTTATAAAAATAAACAAACATTTGACCACTTGAATGAATCTCTCAAAATAACAATCAAAACAGTAACTATTTCCCGTCACTTACAGTTGCTTTAAATAAATTGAAGTTCTTGAATCCAGTATTCTCAAAGTTTTGTTAAAAAGACCTTTAGTATCAAGATTGGTAGTCATTACAGTAATCATGTTTTAATAGGCTTTAGACTTTAGGCTAATGAATTTATTTATTTGAACACAAATATTGGTACAAATGGGCACCGAATACATATGCGCTACACACGTCACTTGATTTATGCGTGAGCTGTGATACTACCCGGGTGCCCAGATCGAAGCAGGTGTTTTTTAGGGGGCCTTCGACCTAAATGTCTAATCCATAAAGCAGTGGAGCAACATCAGGTAATGCAGTCACATGGTGACTAGCGATCAAAACAGGTCCATATGCTATTTGTTTCTTCAGGATACTGGAACCTATGTGCACCATTGGTTTGGAATCAGGGTTTTCCAACTCCCCTAGACAGATTCTCCATATCCACCAATCCGGTTAAAGAGCCGGATATTCTCTTTTCGTCCTCTTAATTTCGTAAACACCCTCGCTGCGAGGTATTGAGTAGGATTTCTCTGGCAGTGGCTGTATACGCATAGACATGTGAGAGCATTTGGAGAGGGAGAGCTGACTCAACCCACCCTCGACCGTAAAAGGGTATTCGGGGGTCAGACTAATGAAAATCTGTTGTGACGGGTAGTGTCCAAATCTGGTACTGATACACAGTCTGTTGGGCGCTACCCCCCAACTGACTACTTGAGCGAGAAAGTGCATTGGGCTACCGAATAAAATACACAAACACCCATTTATATATATATATACCACTTTAATCCTCAGGAAATCGATCAACTTCTTGGTCAATGAAACGCACTTGTCCTTTAGGTCACTTCTAATTGCCGTCGACTGACCTTTTCATTAAGCTACTTCTGATTGGCTCTCCATATCAAAATCACTGATAAAGCTGTTGTTGCATAGTTAAATCTCTTTCCATTTATCTTTAGTGATATAATTGGCATTCACGTTTTCAATTATGGTCTAACTTAGGTCGGTTTATGATTCCGATGAAACCCAACAACCCATAAAACTCCTTGCTGCCGAATAAATAGTAATAGTAACATTAATAATAATGAATATATTAAACTAGAAATGACTTACTTGTGTAGTATCAAAGTCAGCATATATTTCTAATGGTATACGATTAGGATGAGCCCACAACTGATCTAAACCATCATTAGTTAATCCTCTTGGTGGTAAAATAAGTGATTTAGATAAACAATTACCACCAGTATAGTTTAATTGTTGTTGTTGGCCACGTAGAGTAGCATTGATTCGTTTAAGTTGTTGTTGAACCAAACGTTTACGTCGTCTAGGCTCAGGTAGTACATGAATGAATTTTTTAACTGAATCATTTGATGATAAATTTGCATTTAAACGTCTACTAGCTAATGATTGAATCCAATTCAATGGAGATGTTCCAGATTTATTGTTATTATTAGTATTACCAGAGTCATCGGACTTTGAGAAGACAGTTGATGTAAGAATGGAGGATGATTGAGATGTTTCTATGAATCCAGGATTATGAGTTGTAAGCCACCAGAGAAATCGATACGGTAGACATATTAAAGTGGCTAAACAAAATAATTTCTGACTTGAATTATCATTTGATGAAGAAGACCCAGTGGTCATCTAGTAAAAAATAAGGGACAAATCAGTGGTGGAATATCCATTAGAAAAAGGTGTAGAGTCGGACTGGTTAATAAGCATATTTTAAATAGATTCCAGGTTTTATACTTTCAGATTAAGGTCCACCATAACTTTAACTTATAAACTATTACTTACAAAATATATTGCTAGCAGTCGAGTAAATTATTCAGTCATAATCAATGTAGAGGATGGTATAAACGTGAGCTAACGCAAGTCATCATTCTAAATCAGCGCAACGAAATGAAGTTAAATGATGAATATAAGAGTTAAGATAATAATGATATCGATGATAGCGAGGAAGAACGAAAATTAAAAGTATGAAATGAAAAGATACATGTGAAGGAACACCGAAATTCAAAATCTAGAGGAAGGTGTAAAGATTGATTTCTTTTCATAGACAGAAAGTAATACGGAGCCATATGTTAAGACCTAAGTTTCGTGCTACTCAGCACTCGTCAATAAGCTCTATCTGCAATCTTGGGAGAACTGGTGCACTCCTTGGAGGACTCGAACCCGTACCAACCAGCTTTACAGTCTGTGTTACCACTGAGCTATTGCGGCTGCGGTTGAATTGGTCGATAAAATTCAAGCAGCACGAAAAAGGGCTAGACAAACGTTGGTCATTACTCAATGATCAATCAATTGTAAATAGGTTAGGACACGAGCTACGCTTGATGTGATAACTTACTGGTTGAAAGTGAATTGCTTAATTTACTAAGCTATTGGATCGACTTCTATAGTCAATCAACCAAGTTCATCATAGAGTTTGAAATAGATGCGCGTTGGGACAAGCTGTCATTATCCAATTTGCGCAAGTTGAACATAAGATGAATAACAAAAGCGACCGAACTAAAGTAGTAGTAATAACAATAAGAAAGATTAATCATTGAGAGTATGGTTTAAAAAGACAAGATGGAAAGGTATGTATAAAAGAATAATGGAATTCAAGAATGAGAGGAAGATAAAGAGCGAATAGATATTCACCGATGTGAGCAATGCTACCGAAAGTCTGCAGACATCGATCACAGTTATTGTGTCAACCTCGACCGGACACTCTGGATCTATCAGGATGGCTCAGACCAACAGTCAATATATTCATGGATTGATGTTACATCTAGTTTTGGCGACAACCAGCTACCTTTTAACCTACTTCTATTCCAGAAAACATCGTTCATATCGGTGGAGCATGATTAAGCATACGTAACACATCTTAACGACCTCAATATAAGCCAGAAAGAAGACATATATACCCAGAAACACATATACAATAATGAATAATCGAGTATTTGTTATAAACTTTATCTATAATGATGGCATACAATAACATACGAACACATACATACCTGACGTTTATGTAAATTTTTAAGACGTTGAAATATTTGCCATTGAGCCATAATTTGTGATTGAGCTGAACCAGACAAACTAACTAAACGATATGATTGATTTGATGTTGATGATGATGATGGCAATGTATTGGAAGTTTTTTGTTCCATAGATTCCAATATTTGATTATCTGAATTTTTTTCAGCAATTGTACAATTTGAATGTGTTGAAGAACTTTTCACTAGAGGATGATGATGATGATGATTACAACAATTAGATATAGTATCTGATGTTTGATTAACTGGAACATCATTGATAATAGTTTTATTATCATCACTATGAGTATCATTATTCAGTGAAGAAATTACTTCTGTACATTCTTTTATTGTGACATTCATTTCATTATCATTATTGTCTACAATAGACAATTTATTTGTACCAATGTTTTCTTCATCAACATCATTGTTAATAAGTTTATTGGATTGTTGTTTGGTAGAATCATCATCATCATCATCATCATCATCATCATCATCATTATTTTCATCATTGATATCCATTGAAGATAATAATTTATCATTTATAATGTTTATAGATTGATTAATATCAGTATTGTCATCATTATCATTATTGGATTTAGATAATGATTGATCAATTTTACTGTTAACAATAGATGAAGAATCACAGTTTATACCAGTGACAGTATCATTAAAGAAAGAATCAACAAGAGATATACATGTTGGTGATTTTTCATTAGATAGTATAACATTATTATTTGAATAAGTACGTTTAGTAATTGGATTTAATGCATAAGGTGGACTTATTGGAACCTTGAAAATAAAAAAATAAAAAAATTTGTTGGTAACACTGTAATGTTTTATAAGGCAAAAGATTACTTTATAATGGTTACAACTATTGGTTAGAATAAGAAATATTTTATTCACAAAAGGTGAAGTTACTTCGAGAGAAATTGAACTAACAGGAATATAGATGATACAATAAAGATTCACGACAGGAGGAACCAGTTAGTAGTGAGCGTTGGTCAATTTAAAATCTTATGACAATCAACAAGTTAATGCTAGATAAAGTAAGTATTTTATTTCTATGGTTTTTAACAATCTACCAATGCTCAACTTATTTGAAATCATCAAGTCAAACCTTGATAATGATACCTACAAAATCATTCAATTTGTATATGGGCTAGGATACTGTTTAGTTTCCTAAACCGAAACAGATGGTTTTCTTGGGGATTCACTCTTCAAGCCTTTGATATAGAGGCCTAATTCACAAGGTAGTGAAGCAACGTTAGGAGATGCAATTCCATGTCAGTCGGTGTCCAACAATAGGTTTAAATACTATTTATGTAGACTAACGGTTTGGAACCAGGGTTTTTCAACTCCCTGACAGCCTCAAGAAAGCAGGACTTCTCTGGCAGTGGTTATATACGCATGGTCACATTAGAAGGGGGGAGCAAACTCTTCCCACCCTCGGCCGTACGTGGCTATTTGGGGCCAGTAAAGAATAGAAATATACAGAATGAGTGAGAGATATGGAAGTTGCACTTTAAAAGCTAGATTATAGCACAGAAAATAAGGTATTTATTTAATAATAGACGACATTGACATTTTGGAGGTTTCAGGAAAAGGTACTAAAATTAGTAATCAGTTAGAAAATTTATTGTCCAATCAAACTTGAGAAAGCATGGTGATTTTTCTGAACTGCTTCCCAAGAACGCCAGTTGAATTTATTCACCATAAAATAATGACTAAATGGAGTAGCGGCTTAGTGGTTAAGGAATTTAACTTCCAGCCGTTAAATCATACGTGATAACTCTACTAACTCTATCTAATTCAATTTGCCCAACCGGTTAATATCGCTAGTCCTTACAATTAGTGTCGCTCATAATCAGGTACACGAATCTGTATCTAATAAATGAGATCGGAATCAAAGAAATGACTGCATAATTGCTCATCCATTTGGCCTTAACAAAACATTTTTCATTCTAATCTTTATAAGGTTATAACCAAAAGTTTATATACATTCTAATTGTTGTTTGGTCATAAATTATCCATTCATATCACCTAAAAATCAGTTTTTCAACAACTGTGTCAAGTTTTTGAAGTTTTTTCACATACAGTAATACAGTACAGCTTTAACAAACATTCTTTTGGATATGTCATGGAGTATAGAAATAGAAGAATATTGTCTTACCTTGCCGACATGTATTTCGGCTCCTGTAACTTGCATAAGTTGTTGGATTCGAGACCCTTCCGACCCAATCAATGCACCAGCTTCGTTGTACGAAACACGCATATAAAGCATACCACCGGTAGCTAACCAAGCTATTGGACCTACAGCTGCAATTAATGACTGTTGAACAGCGGTCACCATAGTAAGGTTAGTTTCTTTAGGGTTTGTTGAACGAGCTAAGCGTTCAAATGCACATTGGTCAGATTTTAATTGATCTAGTTTATCCGATTTTTGCATATCCGAATCAATACAATTATTAGATGGCGATTGCAATTCTGTTTCTGAACGAAGAAATTAATGTAGAGAAAAAATGTGAATACATCTAACAAGTATAAGAAACAAAGACTAAGAAAGGTACCGGAGATAAACAAAAGTGAGAATATTGTAACTCCCAACCAACTGCAGTTGAAGTTGAGGAAGTTTCGTTCTTTAAAAATTAATAATAGTGACGTATTGGATGAGTAAAATAAAAATAAAAGTACACAGCGCACTGTATGTGTTCAGTAACATGGAGAATATATGTTTGTGATGTATTGAAAAATTCAATAATCGGAGTTTCATCAACCTTGGTGGGTAAGTAAGTGACCAGATCTGGCTACGGGTGACAATAGATGGCTTGATATTCGCCAGCTTACAAAAAATATTCAATAGCCTGCTAAATCAAAAGTACAATTCGCATCAGATGATTATGTATTACTTCATGGCTGTGATACAGTATTTGAAGGTAGATGAAATTCGTACACTAGTAGCATTTTGGTCATAGATGGATTTTAAATCTCGCTAGGGCATGGATGAACCACTGAGGTTAGTCGTAATGACTTTATTATTATTTGAACACATAGATATTGGTACAAGGAGGCACCAAATACATATGCGCCACACAAATCAAATGAGATTTGTGTGAGGGCTGTGATACTACCTGGGTGCCCAAACTGAAACAGGTGGTTTTATTAGGAGGCCACACCCGGAGCCTTCGACCTGAAGGTCTGATCCACAAGACAGTGGAGCATCGTAAGGAGATGCAGTTCCATGGTAGTCGGTGGCCAACGACTGGTTCGTACGACATTTGTTCCTTCAGGATACTGGAGCCCATGTGCACCATTGGTTTGGAATGAGGGTTTTCCAACTCCCCTAGGTGAACTCTTCATGTCCACCAACCCGGTCGTAGTAACTTAAGTAGGTATGTTAAATCGGATAATGGTATTACTAAATTTAGTCGGTTCAAGTTGTTGGGATATATGTTACATATACTTTGTCACTACCTAGACTAACATGGTATACTGGTCAGCATAGGATTAAGTTGGAAGATGGCTAGAGATATTCAAACAGAACATGGCATCAATCTATGAGGTTATCACCTGTTTGGCTGAACCTTACAAAAAGGACAACACTAATGATTGAGATCTTCAAGATAATCGTAATCTGAGACGTGGTGATAAGGCTAAAAGCTGGTCCAAGTGGAGTAGACGCGTCTATTCCTTTTATCCCTTCAAATATTGGGGCTTATTAATATTACAAACGTCTGAAATGTGTTTTCTACGTTTAGCCTTTAATTATTAATATTCTTTTAATTCACTTGTTTTTTAGTCTTGTTAGTTTCTTATTTTAACTCAATGTTAAGTGTTGAACTAGAAAAGATATACATATTTGCTACAGGCTTGTCTTATATTGTGTTTGTAACTAGCCGAACCATGTGAATGAAGTACTACTATTAGTAGTACATGACACTAATATCTTTTTATGTCCATTTACTAGTGTACTATTAAACATAAGAAATTGAGTATGATTACCGTCATATGTTAATGATAAACGAAAAGATATATTTACAACTCTACATCGTGTCTTGGAGTACTACATAACAAGTCTGGAACTACGTGGAAAAAAGTGGCCAAAAATGTATGACACAAAACGAATTGATAGTATTATGGAGGAAATTAAGTGAACAGAGAGGGAGAGGTTTGGAGATAGAGAAATCATACAATCGATTAGTATACTTGACGTTTTTCAAATCACATCTTTGTCTATCTCTAAACAAATATTATGTATAGGATATGTTTACTCACAAGGAAATGAGTACAAACAAAATGTTATTAGGGAAGCATTCAATGGGATAAAACATTGATTTGCCATAAAATAAAAGCCATTTGACATATTATGAAAAATATGGTTTTTAAAAAACACATGCTCCCTTGATTACCTTTATTCTCGCTAGACATTTCTAAAACAACAGTGGATTCATTTTTGTCTTGGTCAAAATCAGATGATACAACACTATCAATAGTTTTATTGTGTATTGCTTCCTGATCCTGATCCTCTTCTTCTTCTTCATCACCGTCATCATCATTATCATCATCAACCGATAATTCAATGTTAATTGATGAGTGATCAAATGTATTGTCAATATTCTCTTTTGTTTTGGAGTTGATCTTACTTTTCTCATCATCATCATTAATAGTTTCTAAGTTGTCAGTATTATCATTTATATTTTTGTCTTGTTCTTGTTTATTTGTGTCGTTTTCATCATCAACATTTACTATATTTGTTGAGTTGAGATTATTATTTTCAATGTTTTTAGATAATGTAATATCAGGTTTTGGAGTATTCATACTTCGCATTAAAGATCGTTTATTATAATATTGAAAATTAGTATTTTTTCCAAGTTTAGCACATACAGACTGAGGCCAAAATATAGATCCCAATGACATAATTAATGAACATACTGATTGTGGATCATAACTAAACGATAAATTGGAAGATTTCGATGATCTATTATTACTATTCACTGGAAGAGAAGGAAGATGATTGAGTAAAGGCCAAAAATTAGATGGAATAGACGATTCAATTGTTGCCCATCGAATTTGTTCACTGAGAAATGCTTCAGCTGCACAAATAGAATGTAATTGACCACGAACAACTAATACTCTGTCGGTAGGAGCTAAATTGGATTGTTCAACGTCATTAGAAGGACGAATTTGAAGTGGTGTTCTTGATACACAGAGAGAAAATAAACAATTTAATGTTTATTTAGGATATGTAATAGAGTACTTTATAAAAAATTACCGAGGCCTAATTTTACATACATATAAGTAGTACTTGTCATAGACTGATCTCCTTTAGTGTACTATTGGAAAACAGAGGGGGGGCACTGAACAATTATCTTATCCTAGTGTGGGACTCCTCAGTAATGCACACCCATGACCCTACCATGGACGAAACCAGGATCTTTAGGTCTCACCAAGGACACTTAACTACTAAAGTCACTGGAAAAGCGTTTAGTGGCACAATTTTAACCTCAGTCAGCTCACAATAAAGAGTAACAATCATTCCCAGTGACACTGACGACCTATGTTATGCTCTTGACATTTCTTAACACCAGTCACGACTTATCTCTAGAAGTTTAATAACACTCTGGAGTAAGCCACTAGTGAACTATCACAGTTTAGTTGGGGGAGATTTTGAAGGTTAATTTGTGGGTAGTATATATATATACATAACCAAGGAGACAGACGATTTCCCGATGATAAAATCAACTTTTCATACAACAGACTGGTTATTGAAAGATCCAGCTATTCATCCCATGCCAAGGATAAGAATATTTGGAAATAAAATTTATTTGTGCTTTGTCATTTTTTTCTAACCATCCATTACGACAAGTCAAGATAAGTGCATTTAACTCAACATAATTCACTTTATTGTGATAGAATCAATTACAAATCTGAAATAGTTATTAAAACCTCTAACAAAAAAAAGCAGGCAAGGAAATGATCTAATTGACGAGCTGAATTACTTAATTAAAATTTACAACAGAGTGAATGAGACTGGATTGAAAATAAAGCTTCTTTCGCAGCTAAACCAACAGTCCAAGCCAAAGTCGTAAGTCTAATTAGTGTCCCCCTTCAACAATTTTCACTATTAATCAATATCTACAAGCCAATTTAAAATGTGTCCCCAAATGTCCTGGTACGGCCAAAAGTGAGGAGTCAGCTCTTCCTCGCCAAATGCTCTCACATGGCCACGCATATATAGTCTCTGCCGGGGAAGTCCTACTCACTGCCTTCTCGCGGCATTATTGTCGTTTACGAAACTGAGCAGACGAAAAGCGAATGGCATGTCCTTTAACCGGGTTGGTGGACACAGAGGGTCCATCTAGAAGGGTTGGAAAACTCTGATTCCAAACTAATGTTGCACATGGGCTCCAGTATCCTGAAGGAACAAATGTCGTATGAACCAACCGTTGGTCACCTGCCGCTATGGAACTGCATCTCCTAACGTTGCTCCACTGCCTTATGGATCAGACCTTCAGGTCGGAGGCTCCGGGTGTGGCCTCCCAATAAAACCACCTGTTTCGGTTTGAGCACCCGGTCAGTATCCCAGCCTTCACACAAATCGAATGACTTATGTAGTGCATATGTATTTGGTGCCTCCTTGTATCAATGTTTATGTGCTTAAATAAATAAATAATTTAAAATCTAAAAGTATATTTATGACATAGGTAGGTGTGCTTGTTTACTGAGAGAAAGATAAGTAATTGTTAGGTCAGGATAACTGCTTATTTAGACTTTATCGGATTTATTATTTTTTCTTTAAAGGGTTGGAAATGTTGAGATGTTAGTTGGACATGGATTAAGTTACATTAATTTCTTTTTTGTGTCAATCAAATGATGTGTAACGATAACAACATTCCTCAGCAATTAAGTATGAATTTACACTAAACTTTAAGATCATAAGGTTTAGTGTGAGACATAATGAGTGTTTTATTTCTTAAATAAAAACAAAAAAGAGGAGAGTTTCTACTCTTTGTAAAATGATTGAGAATTCAGTTTTTAAATTATTAAGCTATAGATGAGTTTAATTATTACTGATTATTATGGGATTAGTGTAGTTAGTGTTGAGATGATCAAACACCAATGCATTTTGGTCATAATCGAAGTCAGGACTGGATGAGCACATGTTTTAACATCCTATTCAGCACTCAAAGTAGGTAAGCGATTATCTACTCGTTAAGCTAATATTCTACACACACCACTGAAGTACTGGTTCAAACAGACTAATTGTCTCATATGTTTATGGAAGTAGCTACCGAGTTGTATTCATTATCTCATCTACTAAATGGTTAAATGTATGTGGTCTAAAAGTGCATGTTGAGTCCAACTTACCCCGTTACTGATATGCGTGCGCCTGTAGCAGTATGAATAGCATTGAAATATTTTTTCCCTTTATTCATTATCAGTTGTGCATAAATATGCTGTTCAACAATTAGACCTAAGCAAGGATCAGAGAAGCCACGATGTTTAGATTCACGGAAACATATTGTAAGAATTTCACATAATGCCGCTGAACATTGTTCCCTTGATCCGAAAAGAATAGCAAGCTGACTTTCGTCTGATTGAACCTCTAAGTTGGATTGAGATTTATTAGCTAATATAGATTCAGTATTGATATTTGAACATGTTTCTGGTACTTGATCAACCTTTGTATTACCATTAACATTTGTAAAAGCATCTTTATTGTCAGACAGTTGACTTGTTTCTTCTTTTTCCCCTTCTTCTTCCTCTCTAAAGTGATTAGTACTTGCAACGTGATTGGTACTGACAGAATCAGATGACTTGAATGTCTTTTTTCCTTTCCCAGGCAAAGAGAACTGTGAAAACGTGATAATATCCTGTTTCATCCCTATTTTAGCCCCCGTTTTTGTTGTAATCTGACGAATAGTTCGACCACCTCGACCAATAATCGAACCAACTAATGATGTGCTAAGTAACAATCTAGAAGAGAAAACAATATATATAACATAGTTTAATCTACACAAGATACTTTCAATAGATGATAAATTTCTAGTTGTTCTATTTACCTTCAGAATAGTTTAAGATGGATAGCTGTAATCCAGAGTCTAAAGATGCTATGAGTACCAGTAGGGTTGTGTTGTTTTAAACACTAGTATAGTTATGAAAAAAACATATTTTTAGATCATGGTGATTAATCAATATTCGCTACTGCGATACTTCGATGGGGACCCATTGTGGTATATTTTCTTGCTATGTTAAGGTGAGCAAATATATTACCTATGCCAAAAGTAGTATTCCGTGATTTTAGAGATCCAACCAAAATGGCATGCTGGTGGTTACAAAAATGAGCAGGCAAATGAGTCGTCATTGTAGCGCCAGTATACATGTATCTACGAACGGTATGTATTCTTTGCAAACGTCATTTCTGAAATTGTAGATCCTAACAATCTCAACAAAATATTGCAACCACTAGCGACTTATTGTAAATGTAGATAAAATATCATCAAGTGAAAGGGCGGCCTGCTTGAGCATCTGGGCTACCTGTTCCTGCCATCTAGATATTTCAACAAGTTATCTATTGTTGTTTGTTTTAATATATCATTATGTTTATTAATCGCATAACCTATTCTGCTGCGTTTCTGAAAAGTGTACAACCTTTCGTTGTCAAAGTTACAAAATGCCCAATTAGAGATAATGTGGTTGCTGGCAATATACAACGAAAAGAATGCACATTATTCAGATGTTCATTTACTGAACTCCTAACATCTAACTGGCGATCCCTCAATATTTATCGCCAGGACCGACCAAGAAGAAAGAAACGGAAACTTGTTGAAATACTTTGCGCTGAGAATTCTATATTGTACCAAAAATATAATATTGAATAAAGCTAATAATAATAATAATAATAATCAAAAAGAAAGAGAATAAAAGATAGCCCAGTTCGAATAATTTATTGAACTCTATAGTCAAGTACGTTAGCATTCTTTAGAGGTACATGAAAAGAATAAAAAGTAAGAAAAATTTATGGAACAATACTAGGTGCAGTACTTATGAACAATTAGGTATCCATAAGAAACTCGATTCTTAATGATCGATGAATACGACGGGTAGGACACACACTATTTTTCGTGAATCCATCGAAGTGAAAATGGAAAGCTATTTATCAGGTCAGTAATAGCAGAAATCAATGGCATGTGAACGGCTTCGTAGTAACCAACATGGAAAAGTACAAACAATAAGAACTGACACAAATCGCTTTGATTGCTTAGAAATCTTTCGTCCATTGATAAAATAAGCACAGTTGTTTCATAAGTAGATAGATTGTAGTTAGATTACTAAACACTTTCGCTTTCGAAGCAGGATCAAAAGAGATTCCATGAATAATTTAGAGATATATGATTGTTACTGTAATGAAAGTGAACATAATCTACTCAGGAATTAAGTACCTCTTTTAGAACAAGCTGTCCAGACTGACAATAGCTACGATAAAACCAGGCATCCAAAAAGTCAATTTAGAGTTATATACACTGAAAATAATTGATATAAAGTGAAATAGATTATGCACTACAATACGAAAATGTGCGTTTGTAAAGATGTTATCGACATTAACCAATTACTCAAGTATTTAAGGTTTGATAACCAGGATAAGTCTGGCGGTTAAGGCATCCGCAACTCAGTCACTAAGTCAGATTCGGACCCCAATCCACCCACTACAGTTAGGAAAACTGAGTGGTATTACTATCTGTCATGCTTAGAGTATGGCTTGAAGCCAAGTACACGAGTTTGTACCTAACAATGAGTAGAAATTCAATTACCAAGATTCAGAATTAGTCGGATTAATGTGGATTTTACAAACCACGTAAATGGATAAAAGTAAACCTTATTTCATTTCAAAGTAGGATACCAGTAAAAGATAACTGTATTTCTAATATTTACTGATAACTTTTGTTACATAAACAATGTCACGATAGGTGCCATTTATAAGTATATGAAGACTTACCTTGTTGGACATGAATCAAGAACCAAGCGAAAACCACTTAATTTCAAACTACCTATCAGATTTTCAGGAAGACCTTGAACATAATTAGACAGTACGTTATTATTGGCAAGAGATGATTGATAATTTTGCAAATGCTTTGGTGGTCCTCCAACACATTGCTCATTAGTCTGGTTTACCGTCCCATAAACATTTGTATAGAACTGTGGATAGTCGAAATGGGTGGTTTTTGTATTCAGCTGGTGGTTTGAATTAAAGTCCTGGTTAGTTGCCGATAAGGAAGATATGAGACCTTGACTACCTGAGGATACGAAACTCGACGTTGTTTGAACAGTAAAAGAGTTAGTGTTTTTTTCCGTTTGTGTTAACCTATCATTTATCGAACTAGAATTAGGTTTACGGTCATTAAGACCAGCTTGTTTGTCTGAAGAGAAATTCTTAATTACGTTTTTTGATTTTGTATTGTTTAAACGAGAGTGATTAGAACTTGATGGAGGTTTATAATTGATTGCATCTTTAGATTTATTCCACTCACGAGGCTTGTGACTTATGCGCGGATAATTATCTTTTACGGGATAAGCTGATTGTTGTAGTGTTTTTGAATTATCAGAATTAAAAACATAAGCATGCGAAGAGACAGTATGGTTGTTATTGCTGCCAATATAGTTATTATTGCTTTGAACAGGTATACAAGATGGAACTGATGATAAGTATGAACTATTGTGAACCTGATAATTCGATCTTGAAGGCAACTGACCTACTGGAACAGAAGTCATATATGAAACATCATTACTGGGAAAATCTACTTTGTTGGTCATAGCTGAGGAAGAATTAAATTGTAAAGAAGCGGGATTTTGATAACTGCATGGATGTTTTTGTGTTTCGCCATGTTGGAATGTAACTGAGCCAGGTAATTTAGAGATATCTGGCTTTTGACCATCTGTTTGGTAAAAAGATGACTGATTAAAACCAGAAAAATATGGATTGGCTGTATATTGAGTAAATGAACCATGGGAATTCAAATTATATTCGTTGACTGTAGATGGGAAGTCATTTGGAACTAAAACCTTTTCGTTTTTTATTTTCCTAACAGATGAATCGTGATTCACAGCAGAGGACATATTATCTTCGAGACCAGCCCAAGTGTTGTGGCGTATACGTGAATTAAAGTTTGTATTTATTGTTGAATCGAATCCAGCGTTTATTTGCGCAGGATAGCGCCCAAACAAGGCTGCAGATTGCTGTGTATATGGAACATGAACATTTGGATTAGTAGGATAGACGGCTTGAACATACTCTACCATCCCATGTAACGACGGTGGCTGAAGTGTAGGACTCGTGTATAGTTGATGGTGTGAGACAACGGGATGTTGTTGAACTGGGACAGATGGGACGTAGGCTGATTGGTTCATTGATACATTAACGTCAAGAATTCGAGGGTGAAGGTCACGTGCAGTGTTCGTATTGTTAAGATTATTTACCTGCTTTGAACCAGATGTTAGAAGTGGTTGAGTGGAACCAGATTCTCTGTATGCTGGAGACAGGTTATCCTGTGTCAATGTTCTTATAGTCGGTTGCCCTACAATTCCTGGAATAAGAAATGGTTGACCTAAAGAGCCAGATGGATGTTGAGAGTTTGGATGAAGGACACCAGTTTGTTCAGAGCGTATTGATGTAGATGGATTTTGTAGGCCTGTATGTGGCTGAACTAAACCATTGGGAGTAGCCGCCACGGCAAAATGAACTTGTTGGGCTCCAAGAGTAATCGATCCATGATTACCACCAGCATTTCCGTTTGATGGTTGAAAAGAATGGGCACACGATCTTGCATTTAGTTCATTTATTTTGACGTTGGGTGCATATTTATAATTCTGATTTGAGAAAAAAATATTTAAAACTGGTTTAAATAAAATACGCAAACCGTAGACAACTCAGAATAATATTGTCTTATTTCACTTGTTACAGCATTACAAGAGATTGTGAAGAATAATGAGAGAAATCGAGTAGCACTATTTTCGAAAAATGCATATGATATCAGCTATAAAATGGAGAAAGTGGACAGCCTTGATGGACACCACTTGAGGTTGCAAAAGCAGATGACAATTCGCCATAAGCTCTGACTTTTTGTGTTTAAAAGTATACGAATAAAGAAAACGTAGGATTTTATTGCCTTCCAGGATTGAGTCTAAGAAAATACCTAACGTGAGCTGCAAAGATTTACCATTACAGCAGGATGGCTTAAACCAAAATTTATTCGGTAGATTATAACTACTATCGAATGACTAAGTACACGAAACAGGATATTCGGATACACGATATAAATAACTGACAAATAGAGGGGTCTTTAACCTTAAAGCTTTATGGGCTAGGTCAGCAATCTTCACTGGTGAAAAGACTATTTACTTAGATACATCGATAAGATGGTACAACATATCTGCAGGTATCAGATGCAAGGTCTTCTGAGAGTTAGCTTTCGTCACTCAACACAATCTTATTCGTTGTGTATATTTGATTCAGAGGTCCTCAATGTCGAATACATAGTGAGAGAACTAGTTAGGAATATTTATTCGGTAGTATTTTTGATGTTTGTGCATTCCAGTCAAAACTATAAGGTCATGATCTCTTGTAACAGCAAATCTTAGTAAAAATAAGTGGATCTTATCCTAGCACAGCTTGGAGAGAAAAACCAATTTCCTACGGGAACAGCAATAGAGATAGTAACCTATCACAGTCTTGGTACAGCTGAAGAAGCTATACAACACTTGATGCTTGAGAAACATTTCAGGTAAAAGTGAAAGTGGGTGTTTGATAACGATGTAGTTCCTGACGTAATGAGAAATCATGAAAGGGAATTTTATCCGATTTTATAACAGAATGGTATGTAGTACAGATTAGTTTCATTATTTTACTTAGAACTACTGCATACTCTCGATTCGTGTGTATGCGTTTACTCTTCAGATGCAGATATCTTATACGAATATTTGATCAGTTTTAATGTGGGTAAAATCAAAATAAGTGCACTTTTAGTGCTACGATAATAAATAGTGCGTGCTTTGCACCTCTAATTTAAACTAACATTAGGACAGATTATTATTAGTGTGGTAGACATCCTATCTATTTCTTCATTGTAAATCATGTGGTGAGCGAAGTTAATGTCCGTGTAAGGGAAACATGTATAAATACAAGCACTAGGTTTTGAGCCAAATATTGTATGTTAGTAGTTTTCAGCTGTTGGAAACGAAGTATTTAGTGAATTTGAACTAGTAATATAGTGTGACTCGAACTGACGACTCAGTTTTGTGATTGTGAACATCGCACTTTTACACTTGCCTGGAATTTTTCCAAGTTTAGTGTTAAGATATAATTACACAGATATAGATCCAAACAACACGAACAACTAACTAAAGAGAAACGCCCCAAAAGAGACATTACATGGCGTACGAATAGTGATAAAATACTTCAAATTGAAAGACGGTGTGACAGCACATTAGTGTCACATGATTCAAAGTTTGAGAACATGTACTTCTACACACAACACAGGCTAACAACCAATTGTTTCCTCAGACTGTTCGTACATCGATTGGAATATGCGACTCCATCATAGCTGTGCGAAGGCTTGATGGCTAAGGAGTTCGACTTATAGCCGCTAGATAGCAAGTCTGAGTACTTCAGTTTGAGCAGCGACTCACACAATGGGACCCGAAGCTGAAAACGCAAATCTGCACATGATAAATGAACTCCATCAAGTCGAACATTCGCTTAGATGCAACTTCATCAAAGGACTGATGAAAACACTAACTACCGTGGCTTTGTAAAGCACTTTTTATCCTTTTTATTAGGCAGATAATCTGTGTTAAAATAATAATTGTTCTGTGGCCTTATAGAAAGTACTAACAACAGGTGATATACACCTACCTTATGAACTCAGAATAGCCATAAAGATTTCACAGGAAGGATGGGGATAAATATATACAAATGCCTTATTGGTATGCCACTAAAATTACAAGTGAAATAACCAGTAAGAGTACACACTATTAAAGTGAACGGAATTGAAAAGTAGTAAAAATACAAAGGAACATAGTTGCTAATGTGTTTGGAGTTTTTGTGAAGATTTCCAGTGAGACTATTCAGAACAAAGTGATAGGTTTCGGAAAACGGCAATAGGCATCTTCGAACTAAACTTAAGATAAACCAAAAGGCTAGGTTATTTGATGAGTGGCGTAACCCAGGTAAGATCCAGATAAGTTAGCTTAGAGATGTTTTGTGTCTTTTCCTTACCTCATTTGACTGACTGATTGGTGTTTGTTCCATATCTGTCATGTTTTGCCCAGGAAATACATTAATCATTTTATTTAAGCCATTAACATACATGCCTTGCGTCTGAGTCCACGACCCATCCATAGGGCCAAGGTTTTGATAAGGCTGTGAGAGAGCAACTTGATATTGTGTGTGAACATTTGGTCCAGCGTTAGACGTTGAAGCTGACCGACTACGTTGAGTAACTATGTGCTGTTGTTGCTGATGCGGTATGAGGGAAGATAATGCAGTATTGGAATACATAAAATTAGCCGACATGTCGAAAAAACTCCCCCAGGAACACTATTTCTTTGTCACCGGATTAGGAAATATTTGTTAAGATATGAAGACATGAAAATAACTACAATATCCACAAAAATAGTGAGACAACAATCAAGACGATGGAGTCGAATCTACCGGGCTTTAAGGTCCGGCAGCAACGAACCTAAACAAAACACGGCTTTAATGTAATTATGATCACAAACTTTTGGAATGGAGAAGGTATCACTGGTTATATGAATAATTTTACTCTGTATCTTCGGATTGCCATAAAGAAAACAAAACAAGCTTCTATATTGTATTCAGTAGCATTGAGTTTCGACTGGACTTCCAATATCCAATATCTTTGTGGCAACTTATATAACCCTATCGGTTTCTTTATGCCATTTTCATATTGTTTCGGTACAGACACAGATCTTTGGTGCCCACAAAATAACCATAGTCTAACCACTCTATTGCACTAATTCTAGATCCGTAGTTATTTGTAGGTCTGTATATCTTGCAGTTTGAATGAGTGCATTTGTCTCGGTAGTCTCCGGGATCGGAAGCTATCCTACTTCTACTTGCTTGCCGGTAAATGAACAGATAATGTTCATGATTGTCCCACAGTCCGATTGTGTTCCATGCAATCTTTGGTGGCCAGAGCGTGATTTTGCGGACGGGCCCACAGAATATAAGATGACTTCAAACACTTTCGGTGTAATGTCCTCATCTTTTTGTATGAATTGAGACAGAAAAGACTTCCGGAAATTTCTCTAACGACTACGAAAACAATTTAGTAGAATATATATTGTACAAATTTTATGTTCGTGACTGTCTGATACCTTTTCCAAACAATAAAGATGCAACAAACCCGTGAAACAATTAGACTAATAATTGGCTCTAGGAGGTGTCGAACGAGGAAGTGAGCAACCAACTCAGCACAAATAATGGCAGTTTTTCACACTTTAAACAGTACAAAAGCAACAGTTGATATGTCTTGAAGCCAGAAATCCATCCATAGAGCTATAGGCAAAGAATGAGACGCGCTACATAAAATGTTTTGGGTGTCAATTTGATACGGCTGAGAAACATCTATCCTTTACTTTTTTGTCCTCAACCCACTGAGCTTATTGCGTTGTTATTATTCCTTGCCAACCAACTCTTGCGGTTTTTGCAAGTCTTATAATGGTTTGGACCAGCCCCCGAGCACTAGTGTTAAGTCTTCAAGTGAAGAGCGGATTAATTTTGTGCAGAGGCTGAGAAAAAACACCGTTAAAAGGAGTATAAGGAGTGAAGATGAAGAGTACATTGAGAAATCTGAGTCACATTTTTTGCAATTTCTCCGAGATATGCTATGTGGAGGCTGCATACTTGTGGAACATCCCTTATCTTAACAACTGTTTAATATATTGTTCCATATTGAGGCAACATTTGGACACATAGGACCAGTAAGTGTGCCAAAATTGGAGTTAGCACCCAAACTCTTAAATGCATGGATCGACAACATTTTAAGAAGGAATCTTACACTTATCTTAGATAAAATCTGTTTCCGCACTAATCATATGATAGCTTTACACTATATGAGGAAACTGAGGGAGAAGTATCGTACGTTTGTGGGTGGTCGTCTAAACACTATTTACCAGCTAGTGTCCGTAGACCAGTTGGGACACCTTGGTTCGGCAAAAATCCTACCAGCCTCAAAAGACACATAGAAAGAGTTGGACTTAAAAACCTGACATGTTTATTTATTTAAACGTATAAACATTGGTACAAAGAGGCACCAAATAAATATGCACCACATAAATCATTCGATTTGTGTGAGGGCTAGGACACTACCCGGGTGCCCAGACCGAAGGAGGTGTTTTTCATAGAAGGTCACACCCGGAGCCTTTGACCTAAAGGTCTCATCCACAAGGCAGTGGAGCAACGTAGGGTATGCAGTCGCATGGTCGCCGGTGATCAATGGTCGGTTCACGCACAGTTCATTCCATCAGGATCCTGGAGAACATGTGCACCATTTGTTTAGAACTAGGGTTTTCCAACTGCTCTAGGTGGGTCCTCCATACCCACCGACTCGGTTAAAGCGCCGGATATTTGGTTTGGTCATAAAAACCTGACTTAAGAGTTCTTCATTCCAAAGAAATAGAGTCTGTCAAATTCTTCAGTTTTTAGTGAAAAGACTGTCCAGAAAGCACGGAATTTAAAAAGCTACATGTAACGTTCATGGTCTACACAAATTGTATTACGAGTGCGGTTTCGGTTTGTCACTCAAAATGGATGAAACCAATCAAAGAGGTCTCACAGGTCAAAAGAAATACAGCTTATACAACTCATGTGGATCCGTCACTGGAGTCGGACTGTCTGACACTGAGCGAAATAGATGCAGCCGAACGTACTTTTTTACACCTGTTACTCCTCGCTGAGAAGCATAGGTCGCCCACCACCACTCTCCATTCAACTCTGTCCGGGGAAGTACTTTGCACTAGTCTCCAGTTGCTATTTACCCTTTTTATGTCTGCTTACTTTTCAGTTCCATACAGTAGCGCTGTCTTAACGCTCATATTAAAGATTGTGATTTTGATATTGGTTGACAGTTGATTTGAGTTCCATATGTTCTTAAATAGTAGGAATGCGGCCCTTGATTTGCTTATCATCTCCTTACGTCTGCATCCGATCCTCATTGTTCACCAATGATACCTCCAAGTCGAGTGAAAGGTTCCACATCTTCCAGAGTTACCGCATCAACTGTGATTGTGTTGGTGCTCTCCGTGCTGTGCATCAGGATATTGGCTTTTTCCTTGTGTATGTTGAGGCTGAAGATGCTACAGGCATTTAGAGTTTGACAACGCTTTAACCAGTAACACCTATTATGAATCGTACCCACCATGTGAAATCAAAAGACAGAAGCGAAGACGCTCGAAGGTATATTTGATAAGCTATCCATACATCGAAGATCGACTGATCTAATCTGGCTAGCGATTGTAGGGGATGTTGAGCATGGCGTTCCCACTCGTGATCTGGAGCGGATGCATGACCGAGCGCCTTCAGCTAGGTGAGTCTGTAGTGGCATTGGACAATAGCCACACAATCCACAAAGCTGTGAACACGAGACTACTCAGAAAATAGATATTCAATATTTAACTCGGGGAAATACCTAACAATGGAGAAGGCGCGAACAATGAGTTGAGTGATTAGAGTTGATCGAACGGCATGGCTCGGCCGTGCAGGCGTGGTCCATGCTGAATGTTATCTTATTTCTTCTATTCATATTAAATATATTGTTCTTTCTCTAGCCTAACCTTGCTCTACATCATGTGTTGTTAATTGGTACGATACAGTGAGTTGGCGTAGTCGATGATGTGACTTCCACGTAAGATCTTATAGATTAGGCAGTTATATCATGACAAATCTACAAATTTAGGATTAGGTCTATTATTAGAGCAGCACTAATATCATAGTAGACCATAATTCTACATTGGTGAGCCCAACTAAAGAAACGCAACCTATTATTGTTAATCCTTATTTCCACCTTAATCTTCTCAATCGGATTTTATTTTTGTAAACCCACTATTCTAATAGTCCTTTGATTAATGGTCACATATATTATCATAATGTTATATCTATTAGTTCACATAACTTACTAGCTCAATCCATAATAAAAGTTGATCATCTATATCAACTAATTAGCTTTGATGGTTCGTTAACAACCTTTAATAGCATTTACATGCTTCAGCAACATAGACTTGTTTAAACATCAAGCTCTAGCAAATATGACCTGCAAATAGCGTAAGTATACATTGACTAACAATGCAATCAAGGACTAAATAGTTATCGGGATCTAATTATCAGTGTTCCTTCACCTAACACCTCATCCTGTTTTAAACTATGCACTATCCTGTAATATCTTTTCTTCTGACCACTGCCTGCCTAATTTCATATTTTCGAGTTTCATTCCCAAACAACAATGATGACACTTCTCCAAAAACATACGGTGAGTTTCATCTATAGGTTTTCTGCAATCATAAGGTCATTTTAGATGGCTCGTTCAATAACAACCACACAATTAACTGAATTCATTCGATTGTTCTAATCCGAGCGAGTGGCAGAAACGTCAACACCATCAAGCACCCTGGAATTAATTGCCATACTGCATGTTTTATTCTGGATACTTTTGGATCATTACTACTCCTCACGAATGGCGTTATATATGTCGTCCACTGAATAATCTAATTTTTAGAAATAATCCAGGCGAGTTCAACTATCTTACTTAATGATTTTTTGTACTGAACGTACATATGTTTTCCAGTTGCTTTTGCCATATATTTGTAAGTGTCCCTAGGCTGAATGCAGTAACTTCTTATGGAATGCTTATAACGCGTTATATTCCTGCCTGAAGTTTCATAAGCAGCCTGGTCGTGTTCATTATTTTTTAATTGTCATATACATCAACAACCTGCTTGTTAACCTGGCCCGTACATACGTTACAGTATATCTTCATGTCTTCTAAATTTAGAAATCATCTGAATCGCCTTTAACGTGTATAAATAAACCCATCATAGTCGTTGTTGCTAATCGTATTCGGGTTTATGGATTGGTTTATCATAGTAGCAGCCTAAAATGCAGACATAGTTTAGATAAATTACAAATTTAGGTACTATCAATGGCACTAGTCAAATAACTAAATCCCCAGGTAGCTGTTGACTAAACAAACGTTTAAAATCAAAACTCCGTAGCCTACTAAAATTACCACTAAACGAATATTTCTGAATTGAAAATTATAATATAATTAGGCGTCTCGGATTCTGTAACACTACAAATTTCTGATAATTTTGAATCACCTAAAGCAAAAATACCTATTTTTCCACTGGCTAATCCTCAATCAACACTATAACTAGTTTAACATAATAGTTTCAGGATATCGTCATAAAGCATTGTCATGACTTGACAATCACGTAATATGATTGATAATATTAATGAAACTATTAACATAACCGGTCATCAAATCGACTTATAATTATCACTAGTGTTGTTTTTCTTTTATCTTCATTCACTACAGATGATTACAGTATGTTTCTCTACCAGTTGCTCATTCAGTAAATATCTCAAAACCTTGTCAGTCTAATTGATGGTTTAGCGACACAATAATGCATGCAAATAATCAGTATAAGCAGTCGAGCAAATCTCCTGCAAACTGAAAACATCAATGTCGAATTTACCCCAACACTGACTATGGTTCAAGGCATTATCATAGACATGAGTTGGGAGTGTACTCCCGTTGGTTACAACTTGTGTTCTTCCGGATAATCACATGAGCATCTCTCACTGTTAATCATCTTGTAAAA